CCCGCCCAAGTAGTTTCCAATGCCTCTGGTAGATGGGGGAAATATCAGGTACCAAGGGCCGACCTCGTCAGCTGAACGGGGTTGATAGCACGCACCAGGACGCACAATGGACCAACAACTGGTCTAAGTGCATGGCGAAACTCACCACCCCTAATAATAATAATAATAATAATAATAATAATAATAATAATAATAATAATAAATCCTTTTGCAATACTATATCTAAAACTCTTTATGTACTACACAGTCCATCAACAATGCAACAAATTATTCCTTCTTGCTTTCACTTTCCAAACAACATGTTTCGGCCCCAAATGACCATCTCTAGGGGCTTTACTATGCTAAAACTGCTACACTGCAGTAACATGTGTTGAATGGATAGTATTAGTGCGGTGTAGCAGTTTTAATAGTAAGGCACCTGAAGATGGTCACTTAGGGCCGAAACATATGTCGAAAGTGAAAGTGTAAGAAAGAAGGAAAAATTTGTTGCATTGTTGATGGACTATGTAGTCTCTGTCAATGAATTCTGACGCCTACGAATTTTCATCAGTTGACCCAAGAACGAACAGTCGAGTCGAATGGAACACTCTTTATACAATCGAATGCTCAGTGCAGGTGCACCAGATTTATACACCTCGCCACCTTGTTAACCTGGAGCACCACATTCAAAATTCTGTCCTCATATGCAAATATTCTGTCGCTTTTTCTTCTACTTTGGAAGGCGTGTGACCTAAGGAACCTTACCTGGTGGAATCTCACATGTCCACCACATATCTTCCTTTCTCTCTCTCTCGCTCTCTCTAGGAACGTTATAACTTTGTTCATCTCAACATGTCTTCCCTGTATTTTAGCTTCAAGAAACTGTTAAACCTGACCCCGCTTGCAATCCCCGCCAAACCGATGGTTAATATGGTTGATCTGTCTCGACGTCATTGCATGTTGATAAAGTCATTGTTTGTTGCGTGTTTAGAACAGAGCGCCGGCTATACATACCTATAAATCTTCTTGTAAGGATCTTCGTTCCCTGTAGCAAAGATTTGGCATGTACACTTCATACGATCGTGAGGGTTTATATCTTCCCCCTGCACGTTCTTTACCAGCTCTCAAGTTTGTGGGCTTTCGTCTTCAGAGATAACTCTCGCGGTAGCCACACTTAAGATGGCTACCTACTCGTATTTCTTGCGAGCGGTCACTTAATATTTCAAAAGTTTCAAATGGCAGGTCGTGGGGGCGGAGATCTGAGGCTGATGCCTCGACTTTAACTTACCCCGATGCGCTCTAAGATGGATTATGGCACTTTGGTCCACAGCTACTCCACGGAGTCCGGCTTGTTAATCAATAATCCTGTCCACAACACTGGATTCATCTTGCCACTGGCGCCTTCCGCACCCGTCGTCTTGAGGGTCGGTCTATATGTGAATCTGGAGGGCCTCTACTCTGCCTCCGAGCTAATATTCTCTTCTGTAGTCATGCGCGGAAGTTCGAAACGCAGGACCCTCACACTTACTACTTACTTATGTAACTTAATGTATATAAAAGTGCAATGAAATTATGAAAATAAGATATTTCTGGATTGCCACAGCCACACAACGAATTGTAAAGCATTAACGCGTTGAAGAGACTTAAGTTATGTTGTAGTTCAACGATAAAAGAGTGTTCCTTTGCTTCGGGTCATGGTGTATATTCTGTGAGCATTCGTACTATTTGGATATGGGTATGTGAAATGTAGACCGGTCACGGTAGCCGAGCGGTCTAAGGCATGAACTGTCTTCGCTCGCTCGGAAGCCGGGATCGAGGGTTCGGATCTCTTTCCTGTGAGGTACGAACTGAATTCTTATATATTATTCTTACACTGCCGGTCACAGTAGCCGAGCAGTCTAAGGCATGAGCTCTCTTCAATCGCTCGGAAGCCGGGATCGTGGGTTCGAAACCCACATAAGGCATAGATTTTGGCATGCATATGTGTTTATTCTGTGTTTGTGTTGTCCTGTGTATAAGTAGAGGCCTTACGACGAGCTGATCACTCGCCCAGTGAGTCGTACCATCCATAAAATGATCATGAAACTGAAAATTCAGAGGCCAGGGTCCAAGGGGTCTGTAGAGCCAGAGAAAAAAAAAATGTGAAATGTGATATACAGTACAAATTAGGTTCTCTATGACTAAATGTTCGCGAATGTTATTGGCCTCCGATGATCCTAAAGACAACTTCAATGTATCATCGATATGATGACGCACTTGAAAGGAATACGGAAAAAAGAAGGAGAAATTAGTGCTAATAACACTAATGCAACAAATAATGAGCTTCTATGAAGAATGCAGTCATCTGAGATGTAGCGACTTGTAAATTTTGTGCCAATCGAAGTTTCGGAGGAACGTATCGCCTCCATCTTCAGGGTAGAAAAATCCGCGAGCGAGGAACAAGCTTGAGTAACTGGCTGTAGACACCTACAGATTATCGAGATTTTGTGCCAAGCGTCCCATCTGCTGCTGCCAGAAAATAAGGCAGCCTTTGCAGCTGCAGAGGATGGAGACCTGTATGGAGACTGACACACCCGAAAGAGCTCTGCGGAGTGATTTTGGTGTTCTCTTCTTGGCGCTGCTCTTTCTGACTAGCAAGACGAGTGAACCATCTTACAGGTCAACAAATTGAGAGCTGAGAAACCGTTCGTGCAAATGTGTCGCCCGTCATCTCCGTTAAGAGGACAGTCACCGTCTCACTGGTTCACATCGGTCACTCTGGTTTGACATACGAATATTTGCTGCACGAATGGCCGTCACTAGTTCGTACACCGTATGGTGAGCCCATTGCTGTTCAGAATTGCCTCTCAGATTAGGATAAGCGCCGCACTTCCCATATTCATGGGACACTGAAAGACATCCTTAGATATGAGGACTATCCCAGCTCTCAACACACATCATTCGCGCACAGACAAAGCACAACGCGAGTCCTCAGTTTCCTACAAATAGGCACAGGAATTATCTCAATGAAACTAAATACTTACGTCTGAGTTTTCCTGACAATATAAGAATATATAGGAATATTTTATATCAGCATCCTCTATATAATTAAGCTACTCCTGGAACACGCTTAGGAGGCTCATATGGTTGTGAGAGGTTGAGGCTCCCACACTTTCTAGACAATCGACTCACAGGTGGCAGTAAGATCAGCCTTACGCACCGCCTGCCCTTTGCCCCCAACAAGATTCCTGATACTCATTACTGTTATAAGCTGAATCGACCCCAGGGCCATAGTGAGGGTGGAAGGATTAGGTCAATTAGAAAATCCAATTACCTCAGCGGGAATGGAACCCATGACCTTCCGGCTTGTAGCATAGTGCCTCAACCAACTATGCTACCTCGTGCCCCTCCTCTATATAATTAATATGACAAAATGAGGCATGTAAATCCAAGTTAATTTGCTTTGTTTCCCTAAAGAGAGCTTTGTGTGATGCGATAAACCTTGTCAATTAAATCAGGTCCCCGTTATGTAATCAATGTACGACACCACTAATTGCGGTGTGTTAGCAGCTGAATGTATAAATACAGACATGAGATATCTTAGTATACAGGAAACAGCAAACAAATTAAATTCTGCTTAATTATATTTTGAAACAGTAACAGGAAAGGGTAGAATTTTACGCACTAAAAATCCTTTACAGATAAGTAACTCTGTTCGATTACAGAACGATTTAAATGAATTAACAAATTCGTATAACCTTCAAGTCAAATTTCTACACAAAATAGCATGTGAATACTGAACGTGTAAAATTACTTCGGTACATCTTGGAATAGTTCTATTGAAGCAGCCGCTGTGTAAGAATAGTTAATAAATATTGCATCATAACATCAAGCTGTGTTTTACTCATACTGCCAACCATATTTCCGCTAGCACAATATTTGTACAATTACTCTATACGCTGACGTACATTGTATCTGCATAGAACTTAAAAACCAATATTTCCATAATCCAAAGACGACAGTCAAAAATACTACGTATGATTACTAACGCCCCATGGTATGTTTCCAATATAACACTCCATGAAGACCTGAAGGTGCCGCTAGTGAAGGAAGTTACAATAGGGAAAAGCACAAGATACCTCAACAAAACAGAAGGACATGAGAACGTACTAATGCAACCGCTACTGGAACCGCACAATGGGCGAAGACTAAAAAGGAATTGGCCAGCCGACCTGAGAGAGGGTCAACGAGGACTTATATCTGGATAGGCCCTCTCCACGTCACGAAGAATACTACAGCAAATTAGCTGTAGAATCAAATGTAATACTGATTGCTAATATTATGAAAATAAAAAAAAAATATGCGATGAAAAAAAAAAAAAGAACTTGTGATGACAGACATAAATCCATATAACCTTTCTAAATGTTTTCCTTACTTAATTTCTATTGTTTGAGTACCAGTGTTCGGGCTGGTACAATGTTCTAATGATGATTTTGTTAAAATGCATTAATTCCGCAACCGGCAGTCTGGGGTTAAGAATTATAGCAGTCCCTGACAATTTTCATTGCTCCATAAGCACCTTCTTTAAACCCCCAAAATATAAGCTTCGTCAAAAATCGGATTTCTCAACAATTTCTCACTTATAGAGATATATAATCCATGAAACATGAAATTGCATGCAATAGGCCGAAAACAAGTCACATACCATCATTTAAACCTGAGATAGCTACATCCGTAGCTTAGGCGTGGGCATAAGTGTACATGGACAATTATATGAAGTCGTCTTGATAACGCTTAAAACTGGGATGAATTCAGTGGAAATCAATGAGACTTAAAACTGGTAATTTAATACTCAAACAGAAAATGATCATTAGAAACAATTTTCATGATTCTGACGTAAGTCATTCAACTAATGATCCTGTATTTACGAATAGTCGTCAATAGAATCTGTAAGGTATTATTAACCTGAACACTTCCAGACGTAGAAAGATTTGAGGGGAACAAGTTCTCTAGATAAACATATTAATACGTATTTTGCTTACCTGAACTGGTGACAGGAGCATCAGGAAGTAGAAGCGCAGGCTGATGCCAGATGGATATTTCAAGCGTTTCTCTAAGTTCAGATAAACTTTGATGTTGCTGTCCCAGTTCTCTGCACTTCATAACTGACAATACGCCCGCTATCTTCCGGGTACTGTTTCTCAAGAAGAATGGATCTGCTTCCATCTTGCGCACTGTACTGTAAAAAGGAAGAAAGTGTTCTATATTTCCTCTAAAGAAAACGTCTATTCATTTCGTTAATTATCTCATTAATATAATGTTTAAAATATATTTAGATTCTCATAATATTTAACGACGAAATATTTTAACAAATTATCATACTAAAGAAATGATTAACATTTTAGTTATGAGCCCTTCTTGAGGAGCCGTCAAATCTGCAGCTACTCAAGAATATCCCAGCATTCTATGGAACCTGAAGGTTCATTGCCGCGTTCACAAGAGCCCTCCAATGGTCCCTATCCTGAGCCAGACCAATCTAATCCATACCATCCCATTTCTCTAAGATCCATTTTAATATTGTTCACCCACCTACACCTTGGTCTTCTTCCTTTCAGGAAGAATACAGCCGGAGCTTGAAGCTGATCACTCAGCTCTATCAAGTTCCGACTTCTGATTGGATGAGGCTTTACCTGTACTCACCCATAGACCTGCGTGGCATACAGGGACAACTTTACCTGTTTGCTCTATACATACAATTGTTCCCTTCGTGTTATTAATGTATTTCCTTGTATTGTGACGGTTCATTTTTCACCACGGACTAAGCTATAAATAAATGTGCTCATGCAAGTTGGGATATTCCTCCTCTCATTTCAGCTTATCTCAGACTATAAAGTATGTCTACATTTCCTACGAAACACAAAGCCATAACATTAGAAATATGTTTTTCAGAGAGAATTTTCGGTTCTAGAGAGCCAACCATTCTTTAATAATTCAGTTCGAACGGAAATATGGCATTACATTTTCACGCAGCATGGAAACTTTTTCCTAAAACGGGAGAAGTGAAATATAAGCACCTTACTTAATTACTCATGGAGCTGAGCTCTTCTTGAGGAGCCGCCAATTCTGCAGCTACTCAAGAACTTCCCAGCATTTTATGGAACCCGAAGGTTCATTACCGTGTTCACAAAAGCCCTCCACTTGTTCCTATCCTGATCCAGATCAATCCAATCAATATAATCCCATCCTACCTCTCTAGGGTCCATTTCAATATTGTCCACCCACCTGCGCCGTGCTCTTCCCAGTGGTCTCTTTCCTTCTGGCTTTCCCACCAATATCCTATATGCATTCCTATTCTCCCCCATTCGTGCTACATGACCTGCCCACTTCATCCTCCTGGACTTCGTCTTTCTAATTATACTTGGAGAAGAGTACAAGTTATGAAGCTCCTCATTATGCAGTTTTCTCCAACCTCCTGCCACTTCATATCTCTTCGGTCCAAATATTCTCAACACCCTGTTCTCAAACACTCTCAGTCTATGTTCCTCTCTTAATGTCAGAGACCAAGTTTCACACACATACAGAACCACAGGCAAAACTGTAGTTTTGTATATTCTAATTTCTATGTTTTTGGACAGCAGACGAGAAGACAAAAGGTTCTGGACTGAATGGTAGCAAGCATTACCCGAGTTCAATCTCCTCCTGAACCAGGTTTTGATTTGTTATCGTTTTTCCCAAACATCTGAATTGTTCCACATTTCCAAATCATCTGTTTCCTATCTCTATGTCATGATTTTGCCCTGCATTTTGGTGACGCGACAGCTACATATACTTAGTTTTGAAATAAAAGGAACTCAACCGCAAATTAAAAAATATTTTGAAACTGCAATTGATTGCATTGGTAACAAACTTTACAGCACTGTTCTAAAATACTCGTAACTGTTGATCGTTAGCAAACAACTTCAAAACGAGCCATACGAAGTGAACTCAGTTGTGAGGTCGGTTGGCTTGAGGTTTCTATGGACACGCCGTATTCCTATATCTGTCTGATCTGTACATACACACGAATGTCTGTTGCGTGTTTATCTGACCACCCTGCCAATGTCCCAGCAGTCTGCCACGTGTGTCCACTACAGTATATTAATACTGCCAAGCTGTGATACGGGGTATGATACAAGACGACATAACCGACCAATTAATTCCAACGACCCTTGTCTGTAGAGCGAAATGTTCCATAACTTTAAAGTAATTTTAACAAAATTCAACAATATTATTTTATTATTATTCTTCGTGGGGTGAGACTGAGTCCCTTGTACTGCGGCCACTTCTGGCCTATTGTACCAGCCCAAGATGATAGGTGGGGGTGATTGTGGAGCAATGGGTGGAATGAAGATTGGCAGGGGAAACCGAACCGTTAGAACGCCATGTAGTTCTGTGAGAGCCAAACCACTGCTTCATATCGACCGCTGTGATATGTCAGTTCCTACATATAAAAATGTTTTTATACAAAATTTAAATATAAGGTTTTACATATATCCATACAAAATTGTCATGTCCAGTTCAAATGCCATTTTTCGTTGTTACACGGAAAGCTTAGCAAAATATACTGCAGATTTCGTGGGGCCGATGTGATGTTTCACAGACTACAAGAAAAATATTTGAATATAAGCAGGTTACTTTCCGAATCTCCTGTTTTATTCTAATCCTAGTACTTCGTATGTGGACCATTACTTAGGGCTGCAAGGAAAATTGTACCATTTTGCTACGGAATGCAAAGAGACAGGCGTCTGTTTTGATTTGCTCTTATATCTAGCCAAATGCAGGTATGAGTTTCAACTTATTTCTCTCTTTTAGTGAGAAAGATACGCTATATATATTTGTCCTTATTCCGTTCGAGAGAATTCTTTTTTCTTTAGAACAATGTTCTATGTACTTTCTTGAATTTAGGAAGGCGAAACTTTGTGGGGATCTAGGTCTACATCCATTTCGGATAATCAGATGTATGTTGGAAACATTCAAGTGGAGGTATTTTAAATTGGAATTCGCCTCTCAGATTCAGTATTCGTCTTTCACTTCGGATTTTAAAGAGAAGAGGCTCTTAAGAAGAGAAACTGACTCTAATCAGACCCTCGTGTAATGCGAAGTAAGCTTCCCTTTTTCTTTTCAGTGGGGGAGTGATTTCTCGATATTCACCTACCGATGGCTTTAAATGAAAAAGAAAAAAACTACATTTACGGTACAAATTTCTTTGCACTTACGACAGCGATAATGTCGGCAATATGTGAAAATGTGAAATTTTAAATTATACATTGTATAGGCACAGATATTTTAAAGGCCAAGTAACTGAGTTACCATCCATGTTCATATTTTCTTTCAGTACTGTTGAATACGGGAACACGAGGTAGCGTAGTTGGTTGAGGCACTATGTCCGAAGGTCGCGGGTTCGAGTCTCGATGAGATGGATTTTTCTTTCAATTCACCTAATCCTTCCAGCCGCACTGTGGCCCTGGGGTCGACTAAGCCTCTAACAGAAATGAGTACCAGGAATCTTCCTGGGAGTAAAGGGCGGCCGAAGCTTAAGGCTCACAACCTTACCGCCACATGTGAACCATTTGTCTAGATAATGTGGGACCCTCAACGGCTCACAAAACTATGGGCCTCCACGGCCTGTTACAGGGATAGCTTTTTCTGTTGAATATTTTACTTTTAGAGAGTTTTGCATTTGTAGTGGAACGTCAATTCCAATTGAAGCTGTAGACAGACAAAATTGATGGATCTGTGCTGAGCTATATTTATATTGTGACATGTTGCGCAACGGAGGACCCCTACCTCCCCAGCGGCACGTGGCGGTAACGTAGCGCTCTCGTTACTACGATAATAGGCAAGTCATCACCCCGTCACTCTCCCCACGGTGACGTAACGCGCAACGCGCGGTGACTTGCCGAGCGGAGCCGAAGTGAGCCGAGCGCAGCCGAAGAGAGCCGAGTCCCAGCGCGCTGGTTGCTAGGCAACGCGGATAAACAGTGATGCCTACCACGTGGTTGTTTTCTCGTTGCCCTGCTGAGGGTTTATAAGGGAGCTACACAGCCGCCGACGACAGTTCTCAGTTCGCAAGTTACGAGTTACAGACGCGTGTGCGATAACTAAGAAGTCAGAGAGCGGAAGAATTATTGTGTGCTTTCCAGACTTAGTGGGTGCTGTAGTACAGTTATATCTGGAGTGTGTAATTCAGGGAGACTTGTATAGCTCCCGCGTTATTAATACGTGAAGACTCCTGAAGATAGTGTGAAGAGATTTGGTTGTAGGGTTTGTAAAGTGTGGAAACCCGTAACATTGTGATAATTAATTGTAGCCGTTACTTGTAGGTTGTTAAATAAACCAATTAACGATCTCTATGGCGTATTCAGTAACGAAACACGTTACAATATGTTAACAATGGAGTCAGTCTGACTGCTGTGTTTGTGGTAAAACAAAATTTCCCCGCTTGTAGCATTGTAAATTTCTTGTTTCAATATCACTTCAATGCAAACGAAAAGACAGTAACTTTGTTACACTGTCCGACAACATTACCAGGAAACATTTATTTATGATAACATACAGTTAGCTGTGTTGTACGAAGGTAAAAGGTAAAAAGGTAAAGCTATTTCTGTAACATGAAGGCCCATATGGTTGTGAGATGTCGATGTTCCCGACATTTTCTAGACAATCGGCTCACAGATGGCGGTGAAGTTAGCCTTACGCGCCGGCCTCCCTTTACCCTCCAGTAAGATTCCTGGTACTCATTTCTGTTAGAGGCTGAGTTGACACAAGGGCCATAGTTCGGCTGGAAGGATTAGGTTAACTGAAATAGATACCGCGACCTTCCGGCTTGTAGCATTGTGCCTCAACCAACTACGCTAACGCGTGCCCCGTATTGTACGAAGGTCAATAAGAAAGCGTTCTCGATGTCATGGGTGCAGTCAGTTTTCAAAATCGCGTCTGGTACCGAAGATCGTCCTAAACAAAGGGATACAACAGCTGGGCCGGAACCAGTGGGGTGCATTCACAAACGCCTGAGAAACTTTTAGAGAAGCCAATGCTGACAGAATGGAAAAAGAAAGAGTCATCAATTCTGACACATGTGTCGCCCACTCTGAGGGACTCAAGAGCCGGATGTAGACACGGAAACAAAATGTGAGATGCCCTTCTGTTGCAAGACAACGCAGACAGCTCAAGAGTTTCAGAACCACGGAAATCATCACA